CCCCCGCCACCCCCCGGACAGAACGGACACACCACCCCTGCACGGCCGCTCCCCGGGCCCAAGCCATACGCCTCCCTCACGGATCGCTCACGGCCGCCCCCCCGTTCCTTTTTATTTCTCGTGTGGTGTGGTGCCGAGGCGTGCCTTGCGTGGTCAGCTGCGCCCCCTCGCCCCACCTCCCCTCCCTTCGGCACCCACCCCTCTATCCGCAGGCCTACGGAGAAGGGCTCCCTACATCCCTCACTTTCCCCAACCGCACCCTCGCACCCTCTGCCCCCCCAAATCCTTCTGGTGCTGCACAAAAATCTCAACCGCTGACCTCTGTTTTTTTTCGGGCTGTAAAAGTCCCCTATTTTATTACTGTCGTGTGTTTTATTGCCGGCAGTGTAACAAAGTGAAGCGCGGAGCCTCGCGTGGGAATTTCAACCCTGAACCGGAACTACCCAGCGTTCGGTCTGTGGACCGGAATGCATTCCGCCCCATGCACCCACAACCTGGGCTGGCCCGGGTGGCGGCGGGGCAGCGGGCTGCCCTGTTGCACAACCTCTGGCGCACTGCTCTACCTCCGGAATGTGTGCCGTGCCCCACACACACCCACCCCGCCCCACCCCGCGAGGCCCCGTCTAGCCCCGGTACTTCGTGTTATGTCAATTGCCTCGCGATTGTTCGGTTCAGCGAGTTGGACAACGCGACGGCGCCCTAAGTCTTCCCGCCTCCCCCCCTCCTCTCCCCCAATATACCCCTGTCACCCTGTCTCAACTTCGGGCACCTCCTCTCACCCCCACCGACCCCTCCCTCCACGACCACGGACAGCCCCCGGGCGGGGTCGGCGACCTGGTCCATGGGGCGCCCCTTGGCGAAGCTGTGCAGAGACGTAGATCTATAGACGAGCTCCGGGTCCGGGGGGAAGGAATAAGGGGCTGGAGGAGCCTTTTTTTTATTTATTTTCCCTTCACACTTTCCGGCGGATTGTAGCAGAAATTGCCTCGCCATCAGCATTACTGTTAACGTGCCAAGTGAGGGGAGAGGGCATGGCCCCTGGTCTCCCCTCATGCCCGGAGCGGGCGCGGGAGGGACGGGGAGGAGGGGACCGACCCGCTGTCGACGCGAACATACCACCAAGACACTTTGCTCCTTTTGCCCCAGCACAGCGGCCGGGCGCGCGAGAAAGTTGCACAGCACAGCAATCTATGCGATGCTGGCCGCCGCCGAACGGCTACTCCCCTGGGAAAACGTGGTTCTCACGAAGACCTCATTGTGACCTCTTTATGACTTACGAGGTCACGATTCTTGCACTTATGACCTCACTGGTGACCTCACAAGTGCAAGAATCATGACCTGAGAGGTCACAATGGGGTCTTCATGAGTAAAACGTTTTCCTTGGGTCTGTCAATCGTGTCAATCGAACGCAATCTCCCCCCGCACATTCTACAAGGATTACTATCGGTAATGTGCATATTGGCAAATATACTGGGTCCGCGGAAGGTCCCTCGGAGCCAGCGAAGCCAGAGCGGGCACCCACCCTACCCCGACCGTTTCTGTAGTATGTATCACTAGGGGGTCGGTTCAGGCGACTCACGTCGTCAGTCACTGGAGAAATGATTCCAGGTCCAGGGCGCCCGCGGTCAAGGCAGATACGCCAGGACGGGGGGTAGGGGGGGGGGATATAACTCGAGCAGCCGCCGTCCAAACTTTGCCATGCCTGGCGGGGCCGAGCCACCAATCACACCCCATTCACTCACTCGCCCATTCACTCCGCACGCAATCTTGCTCCCCAACCCACAAAAAATAAAACGCGAAAAACGACAGCAACAAGAATCACACACACGGCCGCTCAAGGAGCCTCATCAAGGAGCCCCCATCATCATGAAGCGGCAAGATATGATGACGAATGGGGAGGGGTCGAAAAAAAGGGGAGGGGGGGACAAAAAGAGGGGCAGAAAGACGAAAATGCACAGAGAGAGAGAGTGAGATAGAGAGAGACAAGACAGGGGGAGCTGGAACAAGAGAGAGAAAGAGAATGTGTGACGGAGCACACGCTCAACGTGAGGGGAGCGGGTGCAGCAAATAGCAAACGGGTGCAGCCGATGCAGCCAGCGGGTGCAGCTGGTCGAGCAGGCGCGTGCTGCGAGGCCTTGAAGCCGTAAGGTGGCGCCACGCGCCGCACCACGGGGCGCAACACCGCCCGTATGTGTGCGTGTGTGAGAGAGGGAGAGAGAGAGTGTGTGTGTGTGTGCGTGTGATAGTGATACCGCCCTCCGGACGCTCGTGCTCGTTCTCTGGCTCTTGCGAAGGGCTGTATGGTGGTCTCTACCCCTCTCCCCCACTTCTCCTCTCTCCCTGTCCCTTTTACACTTTCAAGGGCGCCGGGCGCCTGCCGCGCTGAAAGCTGAAAGATGCGTTGAGTTATGCGGGTGCCTCAGGGCGATACGTCGGTGGTGGTTGGAGTGGAGGGGTGAGGGTGCCCAGGGAGAGGGGGTGGAGTGGGGGCAGCAAACACGGCAGGGCCGGGCGGATCTACCCCCAAACCCTGTGGCGCCCCCCAGGGGTGCGGTCCCCGCTGGTCTGTGTGGCGGCGCTGGTCGCTGGTCTCCGCCGCCGCCGCCGTCCCCGCCGCTGCCCCCGCCACCTCCGGCCCGCTGTCGTGGCGCCCGCCCGCACGCCCGCCCCAAGTCGTCCGCGCTGTCGTAAGCAGTAGCGGCGGGTAGGCACGGGCGGGCGGCGCACCCAGAAAACCGTTTCTTTGACTTAACGAAATCACGAACTGACGATATTTTCGTTGATTTGAAGAAAAATTTCTTTATCTCAACGAAAATTTGTTCAATCTGACAAAACTTT